CACGAAAGCGCCGCTTTCTCTGTAGTCTTGTCACACAGCAGCCCGCCTAGAAGAGCCACTCGCTCTGTAGTGTTGTCACATAAGATAAGCACTAGCCCGCCTGATGGCCGGGCGAATCTAAGTTCTCTTCCGGTCAACTGTCCACCCAGTCAAGTGCAAAAAACACAGTAGAATCACGCAAGGCACCCAGCTGGTGTGCTTCCTGCCGGCGAGGAAAGAAAGAAGAGCGACAGGGTTGAGTTCAGATTTGACTGTTTGCAGCATGGGAGCAGATTACCCAAAAAATCCCTGGGAACAATGAAAAAAAAGATATCTCGGTAACGAAAACTATGGGGGGCTGTATTGGCGAGATCCAACGGTGAACAGCTGCCCAAAATAAAAACCGCCTGGAAGTCCGAGGACCTTTAGTACCCTACCCCCAAACCACCTTCGCGCCAAGCAAGACCGCCCTTGTCCCTTTCCTTTCTCCATTCTGCCTCCCCTTCTTTCTGAGCTTTGTTCCAATCGAGTCTAAGGCAAAGCAAAAGTCGTTCGTATACCTCTTTTTTGACCTACTTGACGAAAGGGAACAAAGTTTCGTTTCCGGGTTTATGGATTGGATTCAGTCAGCTAAACTCATTCCTTTTTATTATGTTGTGACGGGTTACCGGCGAACGCTTCCAAAGGCGACCCTCTCGAGTTTCCGGCGGTTTACGTCATTGAAGTAGTCTTTCGTCATCCTACCAAACTAAAGAAGTCACTATCAAGCAGCGAGCCCTTATTAGTTTAGTAAAGTCAAGCTAAAAAAAACGAGAGATTAACCTGTGGTGCGCTACGCCCGGCAACTCATGAAGTAGGGCTCCTTCCTATTGACTAAAGGTGGATTCTTCGCTTTCCTTGAGAATGAAAGAAAGTAGCTATTCAGCCCCTACTACTGACTTTTGACTTTGTTTGATTCAAAAGGCGAACAGCCAGCCCCCCCAACTAGTCGTATGAGGTGGGGTGCTTGTGGTAAGCCGCTTTGGATATGAGGAATTCCTAAAAAAAAGAAAAGGCAAAGTCCGGTATTTGACGAAGATCTTTCGATCAATAGATAGGATTTAGTGTTCGATATAGGGGATAGGATCCATTCTTTCTCAATTTGATTTAGAGAGAGAGATATAACGATATCAAAACAAAGAAATAGGGAGATGATAAAGAATACATAGACAGAAAAAGGGATGTCTATTCTATTCCTCTTTGTTTCTTTTTCAGTGCAAGACAGGAAACCTCCTTTTGTCATCCCTGCAGCTTTCTTTTGTATTGAACGCATGGCCTAGGACCTGAAAATCATCACCTATGTTCACACCCCTCTTTCTTTGAATCAGGCTAGTAAAGAATGCCCGCCAAGTTCAGATAAGGAAATGCTTCCCCCAACCATTAAAGGCTCGACGAAGGGAGGGGAAGGAAAACGCTTTCGGAGATCGAGATTGGATTTCTTTTGAATCAAAAACGAAGAAGGCCGAGGATGGCCTACAGTGCATCTTATCTGAAGGGAACACGCTTTTTCGAAAGCGGTGGTATGATTGCCGGGCCCTCTCCTCGTTCTGCCCGCTGGCCTATTAGGTAGGATAGCAGTCTTCGGGCTTTGCCTGCCCTTTCTCATCAAGAATTCCGGCTTGGCCCGGGAAAGCGCTGGCAACAAAAGGAAGGGGTCCATGTAGCTGCTGCGCCCGCCCCCTTCTTAGTCAATGGGGCAGCAGGTTCGGCATCCACTAGAAAAGAGAGAATCCACTTCAGATAACCATGCCTCCGCTAGGCGGCAGCGTGTGGAATAGCCGAGAGCGGACCTTTTTGGATATATAATCCAAGTCGAGAGTGGAGTTACGGAAAGAGCCGTCTGATGGAAAACAACTTTCACGTTCGGTTCAGAGAGCACTTTTTTCGTTGATCATTCCTCGTTCCCTTTCGTGTGAATTCCACAGCGGCGAATTCTCAACTTGTGGGGCCCTATCTATTCCATCTCTCAAGCCCCGAAGAAAAACCCCCTACCCTTCGGACTCCATATCTCTTTTGACTCTATATATGTGGGCACCTGATATCTATGAGGGTTCACCCACCCCGGTTACAGCATTCCTTTCTATTGCGCCTAAAATCTCTATTTTTGCTAATATTTCACGTCTTTCTATTTATGGTTCCTATGGAGCTACATTGCAACAAATCTTCTTTTTCTGCATCATTGCTTCTATGATCTTAGGAGCACTGGCCGCCATGGCCCAAACGAAAGTCAAAAGACCTCTAGCTCATAGTTCAATTGGACATGTAGGTTATATTCGTACTGGTTTCTCATGTGGAACCATAGAAGGAATTCAATCACTACTAATTGGTATCTTGATTTATGTATTAATGACGATAGATGCATTCGCTATAGTTTTAGCATTACGGCAACCCCGTGTAAAATATATAGCGGATTTGGGCGCTCTAGCCAAAACGAATCCTATTTCGGCTATTACCTTCTCCATTACTGTGTTCTCATACGCAGGAATACCCCCGTTAGCTGGTTTTTGTAGCAAATTCTATTTGTTTTTCGCCGCTTTGGGTTGTGGGGCTTACTTCCTAGCCCCAGTGGAAGTAGTGACTAGCGTTATAGGTCGTTGGGCGGCCGGAAGGTTGCCACGAGTAAGTCAGTCCGTTTGGGAGACCGAAGGCAGTTCTCCGTGCACCGGACACGTAGCTTACCGAATCAGTTGCGACACGGATGGGAATGCATGCTCCGAAAGATAGGGTCGAGTCTGATACATCAAACGTCTACTCCCTTGTACGAGTCCACAATCACTACACGAGATGAACCTTGGTTTGGTGAATTGAAGTTGGCCTTAGGTGTAATAGGACTCCCAGTTACTTCGCGCGATCGTATACTGAGGTGCTCCCCGCCGGTTGTTGGAACGACGCGAGCCGAGCCTCGATTCAGAAAGATTCAGGGCCAAACGAAATAGGGGGTTACTAATTCCCCATCTCATTGGGGGCGGAAAACGAATCGACATCTCGATGTGAGACAACCTTTTCAATTTGAGTTGGGAAAGAACGGCGAAGTCCATCCGAACCGTCCAATGAAGAATAAGAGGAGAACAAAGCGCCAATCGCGCGCGGAACGGACACAGATCAAAAAAATCAGTGTGGAGAAGAACCGAGCTCATTCCCTTCGCTTCCTGGGCCCAAAGCAGTGCAGTCTTTCCTGGCCAAATCAAGGATTTGGGGCTTCACGCTACTTCAATCCATTTTTTTAGTCAGATCTATGAATAGAAAGATGGATGAATCTATCGAGATTCGATTTGATATCTAAAAAAGAATCGATTTCATTCAACGGTTGATTCAAAGAACTGCGCTTAGCCCCCCCGCTCATGAAACGGCTCTGCTGCAATGGATGGCAGAGGGTCCGTAGTACCCAAAGCACTGGAGTCATCCTGTAGCCGGGAAGGGGCCTAGAAGTGCTTACTACTACACCACACTACACTTGGCTCTACACATTTACAAAGCTAACCCCTGTACAGTCCCTGGCAGAGCTAAGGAAGGGGGCTTCATTCAATCCTTATTCCTTATCCCCTCGCCCAGGCTAACGGGGCCTTACGGGGAGAGTGGAGCCTCAAGAAGCACTGTTGAGAGGAAGATGCTTGGCCCCTCTTCATTCTCTACAGGGTTCCAAACCTTTCTTCAACATAGGTGACAACGAGCGAGGCAGAGATGGAAGAGATCGAACACGGGAATAAGAAGCAAGCTCGCCTTTTTTCTGATTTTGATAGAGGGGGATGGAGAAAGTGGACAAAACAGACTTGCATTTCCCAGTCGAAAAGATGAGTTCCTTTTTCGTCTCGCATTTCTCATCAAACAAATACGGAAAAATCATCATATTGAAAACGCGTTACTAACCCACCAAGCCCTTCCTTCATAGAGCCGTGTATTGTAAGTGATCCGAACCTGCCCGGAGCGAGCCTCCCATAGAGGCAAGTGAAGTTGGTGAGCCGTATGATGGGCAACTATCTCTTGCGGTTCGGAGAGGACTCAGCTCTTAGTTAGTACGCCCTTGGTTTCGGGGTGTACCCTTTCACTCTATTTTATTATATACGCTTAGCAAAAATCATGTTTTTTGATACACCTAGGACATGGATTCTATATGAACCAATGGATCGTGACAAGTCGTTACTACTAGCAATGATTTCCTCTTTCATTACTTCATCCTTTCCATATCCCTCTCCCTTGTTCTCAGTTACTCATCAAATGGCACTCAGTTTATATCTTTAAGTTCGATCATTGACAAGGTTCAAAGAAAGGGTGGGACATTGATAAAGAATCGATTCCAAACCACAATGCTAGCAGATGGCGGGCCTCCGCTTTTCTTTTCATTAATGAAACCTGCCAGTTATTTATTTATTATTAACTCAAATCAAAAAGACAAAAAAGTCTTTGTTCAAAAAGACGTGGGTGGCATTATGACTGGGGTGTCAGTTAGAAAGGTTCTTACAATGTTCGTTCAAATAAAGCAGCATTCTTTTTTTTGACTTAAGGAGGGCTTGATAAGAAGGGCTTGGGACCTATGAAGAAACAAAACAAAAAACATGAAAGAAAGAAAGAATGAAAATGAACGGGAGGCGTCGGAGGAAGGACTGACGAACTACTTACTTGTCTTTGGTTAACTACTTTACTTACTTGGGGTTCTTTCTCGTAAGTGGTATACCTACACCCTGCACACTCACTCTATCTATATACTACTACGTTGATAGCCTTTCTTTCGCAAACCTCTCTCTCTCTCTACTAAATCGCCGTTTTTTCAAGTCGAACCAAGCCCGGATCCAGCTGAAAAACGGAATGGAATACTCTAAGATGCTTCATAGCTTCAACAAGCCCATACCATATTCTTCCCGGGGAAAGATGAGAGTTCCAACCCTTTATTGAAGAAAGAGCTCTTGCCTGAAACTCAAAAGAGAAGAGAACGTTCCTTCCGCAACGCAAGGGCAATATCTTTCATAGCAGCCAAGGAAGGATGAGTTCGATCCATTAGGTTCTTCGATTTATTCGGAAAAGAAATGAGAGAGAAGAAAACATCTTTGATTACGATTAAAAGGAACAATCTCAAATAGACTAAGATCCAATTTCGGGTCATTTCTTGGTGAACATGATCTGCCATAATCTCTTCGATCCCTGAATTTATGTGCCAGACTACAGATAGATTTGGTAGGAAAGTGGAAGAGACTTTTTTGTATATAATAATTAAAGGAAGAAGGAAAGCTGCTGTAATTCTTTGGAAAAGCCCGGTTCTCTTTGTCTTCGAGCTTGAATTCCTCAATGCACTGTTTTGTTCTTTCATATACCTCCCCACCAATAGATAGAGACAAATAGGAATAACCGAACCACGTCTACAAAATGCCAGTACCATGCAGCTGCTTCAAAGCCAACGTGATGCTCCTTAGTCAGATGACCAAGATATTGGCGAATACCACATATGATCAAGAAAAGAGTACCTATAATCACATGAAAACCATGAAAGCCAGTTGCTAAGAAAAAGGTAGAACCATAAATACTATCCGAAATAGTGAAGGGTGCTTGATAATATTCCATTCCTTGAAAGCCTGTGAATACTAGAGCCAGTGAAACGGTAGCTACTAAAGCGTAAACAACTCGTTTTTCCTTCCCCGCGAGTATAGCATGATGAGCCCAAGTTACGGCAGCTCCGGATGAAAGGAGAATAGGGGTATTAAGAAAAGGGATTTCCCGAGGATCTAAAACCCCAATCCCTTTTGGGGGCCAAATACCTCCGATCTCTACCGTGGGTGCCAAAGAAGAATGAGAAGAAGCCCGAAAAAAAGCAAAAAGGAACATAACCTCCGATACGATAAACAGAATAAAACCATATCGAAGTCCTAATTGTACTACTTTGGTATGATGTCCTTCCAACGTGGATTCACGTAGAACATCGCGCCACCATACGAACATGGTATATAGGAGAAATATGAGGCCCAAACTGAGAAGTGTTGCACCCCCTTGAAATGAGTGCATGTACATCACACCTCCTACGGTGGTTGCCAAAGCTCCGAGTGAACCCGAAATGGGCCATGGACTTGGATCTACCAAATGAAAAGAATGCCTCTGAGATTCAATCATAAACCACTTTGCCTCGGTTGTATGTAAACCCCCCCTTCACCCCCGCTAAAGTGGTAAAGAAGGGCTGGGGTCTCATTTTCTTTCTATCTGACAGGACAAAAAAATAGGAAGGGATGGTTCTTTCATTGCATTGATAGAAGTCTAACTAGAAAAAGATCTCTCTATTCCTTTGAGAGGAGAATCTCGTTGGTTTGACCGATGAACTACGTGGGAAGACCTTCCTTCTTTCGTTGATTTTCAGCAAGCATTTTAGTAAAGTCAGAATTCTCTGCAGTTTGGTTTCGGAAAACTTGTTGGTCGCGGATTAGTGCGTTCTGCGCCGCCGGCGGCCTAAAATGAAAGGCGCAGGTTGATCTCTCTGGTTGAGGATGAATTTATTCAACTTTACACGTGGGAAGGGCTTACTCTCCTCGGCTTGGTCTCGCTCCCTTCCCGGACTATTCCTCCCCACTAAAAAGAGCGATTGACTTTCTCGATAACCTTTTTGAACGTCCTTCTTCGCGTGGGGATTTGAAAAGGGATATATCTCTCTTGTAATGCTTTCTACTATTCTAATCGAGAAAGAATCTCTTCCGAACGACCAAGTCATAATGAGATTAAAAAACGATGCTTCCTTGGCCGTGTAGAACATGGATTAGCATTCTGTCATTCCTACAAGCGATCCCCCATCCAGGATTGGAAGAAGTGCTATATGAGGACTTCGAGATCAAATAGAATATATTTCTTTCGAGACCTCGTGAGCCACTTATTTCTCCGAAACAAGAGAGAAAAGTGATTTGACTCCTTTTTCCCAATAAGTCGACGGCGTTACACCATTGGGATACTTCGAATAAACTAGAGTACATATAGGATACACCGGTGCTAAAACCTTTTCTCAAGATATCTTCCAAACTGTTGGGGTCGTTGCTCCGTATCTTGTTCCCCCGGTGTGAAACCAGTTGGTTCCGTAGTTTGAGAATTCTACTGATCCCAAGTACTCCATCTCCATCATTGCATATGGGAATATAGAAAGTCAAGAAGAAAAGGCATGACCAGAAGAATTGTGTGAAATAAGTCAATTTATCCAGTTGAGGCATTCTTGATTGAGAAAAAATGATTGATTATTCCCTCCAGACAAAAAGAGACTCCTTCCTGTACGAGTAGTGAAGAACTATAGAGAGCTGTGGTTGGTTGTTGACCAACGGAAAGCATGGGAGAAAGAAAGATGCACAAACGAAAGAAAGAAAGAAAAAGGGCGACTTCATAAAAAGCAAGAAAAGCGCCCAGCAAACTGCGAACCTGACTCGAGAGGGCAACCACCGAGATAAACAAACTAAACAAAGAAGGGCGCGGGAGCCCGCCCAGGTCAAGGGTCTCCCCGATATCTTTTCTCAACAACAAAGTGAAAGTAGAAAAACCTAATTCTTACATCACCACAGCCCACTTGGTTTTCTTTCTCGCGGAGCGGCATACCGAAAAAAAAGAAAGAAAAAAAGGCGAGGAGAAGAGGAGAGGGAGTCAGGAGTAAGGAAGGAGCGAGACCGATAGGGAGAGGGAGTAAGGAGCTCGACTCGAAGAGGAGAGGGAGTAAGGAGTAAGTAGCTCGACCGATAGGGCTGGGAGAGGAAACCTTTTCTGTTTTTTTATAGCATAGCGGTATTATGCCAAAAGACTTTTTAGCAGATTGTAGGGTTATCTCTAATCTGCTCCATCCATTCGTGGAGGGGTTCGGCATCCATCTACGCAGATATTTCCAGATCCTGAGAAAGAATGTTTGTTATTGGCTATTTCCGAATACATATTTCTCATTTCTTGAAAGTGAGGGCTGCACTCGCCCTCTTTCACACTCTGAACGTAGTTGCTGCGTGACTAACGTGTGAATTTCCCTGAGAAGTGCCTCAGGGGATGGGGATCGCGGTGCGGAACTTCTGCCGGTGCTGGCGCCTCTGGCAGCGCCTCTTGAGCCGCCCCCGGTTGTTGATTGGGGTTTTGATAGGGGTTGCCCCAGGAACTGGCAGGATTCGCGGGCGAAGCCGGAACTGCGCGACCTCTGGAGCGACTATCTTAGCCGTGGGATTGGCCTCTCGCCTAAGGCGGGTGCACGGAAGGGTGAAGGCGAAACTCGAAAGGAATTGACTGATTCTTTTTCTATTTCCTCTTTCATTTGCATTTCCAAATCTCAAGTCAAGGCGTTAGCGCATCTGTTTTCTTGCTCGTTACCGCTTTACTAATCAAATAGAAGGAGGCAAGCCAAAACCAACTCCTAAAAAGTGGCTGAGTTCGCCTTTCAGGGTTACCCACTTGATTGAGGGCTTAGTAATATATAAAGAGGAGGAAGTTGCGAGACCGAGAAATAGGGAAGGAGCCCCCGAATTTGGCCTTTTTGTTTAAGTAAGGGTAGCTCGCCTTTTTGAATAGAAGGAAGTGGGATAGCATTGGTTCTTTCGGTAAACCGATGCATGAGCTGAGGCTCCCATGTCCCGCCGACCCTTCGAAAAAGTCAGGTCGTCAAACGGCTCATAGGGAGTCAGAAGCAAGCGGAGTCAAAGGCGGGTCAAACTCACATAAGCGGAGGGGGAGAGACATTCATGAAAAGCGAGAAGCCGTGAGGGACTGGCCAACTATGACATAGATATCTAACTTTCGGGTAAGAGTATGAACATCTATTAGTCCGTATCATGGGTCTACTTGTTACAAAAGGCGAACATCCCTATTCCAAAACATACACATAAGTCCTCAGGCAGGCGGGGACGAAAAGAGTCTATTCCTTTACAACAATATTCCGGAATGTATCATGGCCCTATCATCTTTTTATTAAAAAAGAAGAGTTCCGCATCTCTCCGAGGCCGGGAGAACAAATAGGCGTGAGGAAGAGGGAGAGGGGGGGCTACGAGCCCTCTCCCGTTGCTGTTCCCGGATCACCCATCCCTTCCTTCCCCTTCGCCCGCCCTGGTGAGATCCGATGAGATCAGATCTCTCGAACGAAGTTCAGTGATAGGAAGAGAAGACAGCTGGCGGGAGATCTCTATGCATTACCACCCCCTTGTATAGGTTGTGGAAAACAGAAGTGTGCTCCTGCGCACTGAAGGATGGCATAAAGATACCTGATTATTAGAGAAAGGAGCAAGGCAACACCAACTCCTAAAAAGTTTCCGAAGTATCTTGAAGATTCTCCATACGCCCGACAGCTGCAGAGGGGGTTCGATTCCCGTTATACGCGATGTGGCAAAAAAACGGATTCAACAAGATATGCCTTGCCTGCATTAAGATTTCAAACTTGTCGTCTACTTTTAGGAAATGTTCGGAACAGAGAACTTACAATAATACAACGCCGCATTCTCCGAAAATTGAGAAACAAGAGGAGATCTATTAAGAGAAAGATTTATCCGAGAGAAAATCTTAACAGTTACATACAATCACAAACTACACGAAAGTTGCCCCTTTTTCATGGGGATTTACCCATCACAGAGATGCACAGAGGAAGAGAACGAACTTCTTATATCCCTTTTCCACTCAATCCAGAAACAAGATCGGATGTTATTCCGGTTCGTCTCCATTTTAGTTCAACTCTTTCTCAAGCAAGGCAGCCGATAAGTCATCGAAGGGTTTGTGTGAATAAAGGAATGGTCCCCATTACTCATTTTAAAGTGTCCCACGGTGATCTAATATCTTTTCAAGAAAATGACGCGAGAATCCGCGGTGAAGAAATAAGGAGATCTTTCTATATCGAAATCTCAGTTGAAAAAATCATAGGCAAATTCCTGGATCACCCGGTAAGAATGTGGAGAAGAACTAAAACAGAATGGTTCCACCTACTCAAAACTCAGAGGGGATGCCGCCTACTACTAAAATCCCGGTTTTTGCAACAGTTGCGTTCTTCTATGCAAGAATCAGACTTAGAAAGAAGAAAGAAGTTTGGATCGGATAAAGTATGCTTAGGCAGTTCCTTCGCTGAGCACAACAGAATGAAGAGGAATTTGTATCATTTTCAATCCCTATTCTTATCGAATAGAAGGAAGGAGAAAAACCGAAATCTTCCTACTCGAAGAATCAGTCCTATAGTTTACAACTCTTCTTTATATAGTAATTCGACCTATTGCTCCGCATCCCCCCATCAGTTTACTATGAAGAGCAAAATCAAAAGGATCGAACTACCTACTCATTATTCGGAGGTGAATCATAGAACACTAAAAGCTGTGGTATCTTATGGACCTAAGATAGGGCACATCCCTCACGACATAAGATTGAAAGATCCAAACCTTCCTCTTCGGAGCGGAAACGGACGTGGCCAAAACATATAAAGATCGGCTCGATCGGACATATCTATCCGTCTCGAGTCTCGTCTAGATCGATTCATAGATCGATTTCTATCCATATGTAGCGATCCCCGTGGATAGAGATAAAGATAGGGATCCATCTAGATCTTGATTCACTATTTCCATTTGATTGATTGCCTTTTGACAACAAGTTTTTAATCTTAATGCAGTCAAGGAAAGAAAAGAGAGTTTGTCTATTATTACTTGCAGGATCGGAGCGTATACGAGCGAGCAGAGCCCAGGGAACGAACGGGGAAGCCCGTTATAGAGCAGTCGACTATCAGTATCAGATGGCCTGAGAGAAGACGGCCTCTCTCGGGAAAGATGGCCGAATTTCTCTTCTTTCTTTTTTCTTTCGGGTTTCTTTCTTCTTTTAGGGGCCCATAACGCTAAAAGGTGGGGGAGAAGCAAGCCGAACCTCTGATCGACCTGGAAACATAACAAATTCTCGGCGTCGAGAGAGATTTGAGATTCCGTAAGTAACTCAGCGAGTGCTTTCTAAGAAGGGCTTGACTTGGAAGAAGAAAATGAAATACGAACAACCGCGCTGGTCGTAATAGATCCACTTTCTTGCTAGTTCTTGCTCCAGCATGAAAGTTCCATTTCAGGGAAGGACGACGTACCATGATACTTTCCGTTTTGTCGAGCCCAGCTTTGGTCTCTGGTTTGATGGTTGTACGTGCTAAAAATCCGGTACATTCCGTTTTGTTTCCCATCCCAGTCTTTCGCAACACTTCAGGTTTACTTCTTTTGTTAGGTCTCGACTTCTTCGCTATGATCTTCCCATTAGTTCATATAGGAGCTATAGTCGTTTCATTCCTATTCGTTGTTATGATGTTCCATATTCAAATAGGGGAGATTCACGAATCAGTCTTGCGCTATTTACCAGTGAGTGGTATTATTGGACTGATCTTTTGGTGGGAAATGTTCTTCATTTTAGATAATGAAACCATTCCATTACTATCAACCCAAAGAAATACGACCTCTCTGAGATATACGGTTTATGCCGGAAAGGTACGCAGTTGGACTAATTTGGAAACATTGGGCAATTTACTTTATACCTACTATTCCGTCTGGTTTTTGGTTTCTAGTATGATTTTATTAGTAGCCATGATTGGCGCTATAGTACTGACTATGCATAGGACTACTAAGGTGAAAAGACAGGATCTATTCTGACGAAATGCTATTGATTTTAGGAGGACTATAATGAGGAGGACGACAGACCCACTCCCGATCTACTAAAGGGAAAGTAGCTTCATTGGTTCGAATCCAAGTCGTGAGATGGCAGTGACGGTGAGGAAAAGGCGTAGGTTGGCCTGGCTTTGGCTTGCTCTGGGCATTATGGTGATTGATGATCCCTGGTGCAAGCAAACAATAAGTCAGAGTCCCTTAAAAAACTCCCAGTGTATAAAGGAAGGTTCGGGCCCCCCAGGCGTCGCAGGGTTCCTCACTCGGGTATCAGGACGAGAAAGAAAGGATATAACAGTGCATTGAAAGATCCAACAGTCAAAAGGGAAACAGACAGAAGGGAGACGAAAGAAAGATGAATGAGAGTGAACTCCGGAACCAGAACCAGAACCTCTATGACCTGAGCTACTTCACCTTTACATTACAGTCGGTAAAAGAAAAAGAGAAAGACGAAAGCCAGATGAATGCGAGTTTACAGTCTTTGAAGGGAGACGAAACGAAAGAAGAATTAGACTGAACAGTGAAAGAAAGAGTAAATGAATTAGCTACTGAACCCATTTACCTTATGAATGAGAGTGAACTACTGAACCTGAAAGTGTTGAAAGGAAAGACGAAAGAAACTAAAGCTTAATTAGACTTTACAGTGAAAGAAAGAAGGGAAAGAGAAGGGAGACTCCTTATGAATGAGAGTGAACTACTGAACCTGAAAGTGTTGAAAGGAAAGACGAAACGAAAGAAGAATTAGACAGAACAGAACAGGACTATTACTGATGAACCTTCCCCTGAACCTATATTCCCTTCACTCCTGACCCTATTTCTTCAAACACTGTAAACAAAGATAAATACCCCTTCCCTTATTCATGATCCTTTAAGGACCATTTCTTTGAAAATTCTATCCTCTGTCTATTTTTTTGGATATTTTTGGCCTAGGTAATTAACTATTAAGTCAAGACTCAAGGAAAGACTCAACTCAACAAGAATTCTCGTTCACTGTCAGACTCATTAGACTGATCCTACTGATTTCACTCATTCGACTTCCCTTCGCTACTGAACCAGACGGATTGAACTGTAAAAGAAGAAGAAAGA